TTTATTTATTTACATTTATGTTTGTTAATAATTCCTGTTTATTTAACTATACATTTGTAAATAATATTGTTTAAATTTCTTATATTTCACGTATCTTTCCTCTCTTGCAAGGAGCACCTGTAACATAAAGAATTTCCCCTCGGGGATCAATAAAGTATTTCTGATTCTGATTCTGATTCCCTGCCTGTTCACCCTGAGGAAGACTCCCTTGTGGAGGGCCCGTCGGATAATGTGGGCTCCACCCACTCTCATCCCTTCAACCCCCCCCACTTGAGGAGATGGACAGTTTTGCCTGTGCCTTTCTTGGTTCTCGTCTGCCTGTGTGGTGTTTCACCACTCCAGCTTCCTTGAGAGAGATCACATGTCCACCTGTTGTCATCAGAGCTTCCTGCCGAGTGAAACATCACAAGTAACAGGGGCTTACCTGTTATCTGTCGATCTTTACCTGTGCAGCATTCAACCTGCGGAGAGTTCCAATTAGGCTTGTGCCGATTTCTGGTTTAACCGGTTTGGTCCGGTTTAAGAGCTCCATCCGGTTTAATTCAGGTCAACCGGATAAACCGGAGGAGGGAGGGAAAAAAAAACAAAAAACCTTTTCACATTGGCGGCGTGTCAAGGGACTATATTCAATTTATCTTGCATTGTAACATGCATTATGACAACTTAATAAGGTTTATGTTTGTTTATAAATCAAGTGGAGGAGCCTACAAGTGTTTTGTTTAGTTTGTCTCAGAGGCTTCAGAGGGACTCTGCAGCTCCACTCCACTCAGCTGTCTGCTGCTGCTGCGAGAGATCAAATTTCATTGAGGGCAGGGAAAAGTGTGAGGGAGTCAGCAGTCATTCAGTTTGTTGCCCTAGTAACCCGTTCCCACTGAAGAAGTTCCTGGTATTATTTGGGGGGCTGGAACTACTACAGGAACGTCCTCTCGCTCGGCCCTCTCAACCGCCCTGTCTCCACTGAGAGAGTGGAGTCGGAGGAAGGTTCCTTGGTGTCCTTCTGCGTCTTCTTCTTCTTGTGTAACCTTGTGTGTATTGGCGGTTAATACAGCATTACCGCCACCTAGTGGATTGGAAGCGCATTACACCTATAATGGGCTTTTATTGGTAAAAATAGCTCAAATGCGACCCCCAGTGGTAAAATTAGGTATATAAGTCAATATATCAGTTCGGTTAGATATTTGGCTTTAAATCAAACCGGTTGGAAAATTTTCAAACTGGCACAAGCCTAGTTCCAGTAAAAGGACATTACAAACTGTTATATGTGAGATTGTGCTGCTTTTGGGTCCTTCCACACCCCCTGACACTGACGTATGTTTACAGTACATCAGTACTGGGCGACTGCTGGGAAGAAGTTTTATAGAAAACAGTCTCGGTCTGGCAGATTGATTGTAACGCAATTTCACTGGCTTCTTAGAAAATACAACTTTCTATTCTATTTTTTACTTTGTTTTTTCAATTTCTCAAATCATTTCAAAGAGCTTTATTTGCATGAAAGTTTCAAGAACTGTTTCTAAAGTATTGAATTACAATTTGACCAAACGATAATAATAATAACAATAATAATACAAACGTTATGACAATATTAGGAATGATATATATTAAGTCTATATATACAGTATATCCTCTGTGTGTGTGTGTGTGTGTGTGTGTGTGTAAGTTGGTCATTCCTCAGGTTGTTGCATGTTGAAACATACTGGGCAGTAAGACACACCCTGTCTCCTTCTTCTAAAGGTATTTTTAATTTTCTCCTTAAGCTCTCTGAAATCTGAAATTGCAGGGTTGAGCTTGTTAAATAAATGTTCCTTGTCTCATTAAATGTTTTACATTGTAGGAGGTAGTGTATATCTGTCTCAACCTCACCTGTTGAACAGTGACCACATATTCTGTTTTCTTCCCAAACACACATTTTGGCTAAAACCTTACCATTTAAAATATTTTCGCATAAACACTCTCACGCACAGATGAGCAGCACACCTCAGCAACTCAATGGAGTGCAGAGTTTAAATGCACACGCTTGCCCTTGCGCACTACTTGTGTTTTGGATTCTCTGTTCACTGTGGAGGTATACGAGATTGACTGGAGAGTAACATGGGCTGAGTAACTGAAATACAAAAGGTAATTTTGAGGCTGAAGTATTCCTTTGAAAAAGAGACTTTTATCATCATTAGTCAAAGCCTTCCACAACCTCTTGTGTTAATTAGGTTACAGTAACCACAATTGTTATTTATTTGTTCTAATGATTAGGTGGGGTGCAGATTAACAATGGAGATATCAAGCATCAACCTGTGGGTGCATTAGTCACCTGTATACTGTATGTGACAAAATGCCTGACCTGCATGTGTCCCACATCTTACGGTTGGTGTAAAGGAATATGTTGGAACTAAGGCTTAACACATGTTCAATGTGTATAATTCAATATGTTTACACACACTATGAATACATTTGGGTGAGCTGGCTGGTCCAAACACACACCATGTTACATTTGAATGGAAGGATAATCTCTATCTCCTACTTTATTTCTTCCAAACTTGCACAGAGCGCTTTAGCTCTTTTCTCGATAATAAATGTGTTTGCATATGTGTGTGAGTGAGTGAGTGAGTGAGTGTGTGTGTGTGTGTGTGTGTGTGTGTGTGTGTGTGTGTGTGTCTTACCACTGGGGTTGAATTGCATGCAGGATATGGGTTTGTCATGAGCTGGGAAGTGAGCCACCACTCCCTCTCCATCCGAGTCCTCACTCACCAAGACCTGGAATACAGAGGGAGAGAGAGAGAGAGAGAGAGAGAGAGAGCGAGAGAGAGAGAGAGAGAGAGAGAGAGAGAGAGAGAGAGAGAGACTCCAAATCATTTTCTAACAAAAAGAACATTGAACCCAGAATGGGACTTTCCCCTGCTCAAGGATTTCTCTTCTTATTTTGGTTTTGGTCTGATATCATCACCACACTCAGCAGTGTTCTTTGACATTAGACTATGGGTAAACTCGTTTCTGAATGTGTCATTGCCCTCTTGTGGATAAAAAATAATTAGCATACTACCTGACAGGCAAGAAAAAAAGACAAACAAGCACTTTGTTCAAAATCTTCTTTATGCTGCATCAAAGAAATTATGAATCATCACAGCGAGAGCTTTATTTTACTAGTGCTAGTGTTTCAGTAAGAGGCTCTACTGTGACCATTGTGGACAGGGTATGGCCCAACAACAGAGACAAGAATATGGACAAATTTACTTTGGCAATAATGTGGCTTTTCACATGTGGCTTTGACAATACCCCATGACAGTGGGTTTTCCCGTAAAAGGGGCAGAAACTGGCGGCAAATCTGGGTTTGGCTTGCCACTTTCAAAAATTGCCTACAAAAATGAAATTATAAGTCACTTTCCACAACTAGCGGCTGCACCTAACTCTCTGTATGAAGTCTACTGTCAAGACTGGGACAAATCTAACAAAAGCTGAGTCCAGACCAGGAACTGGTAAAAAAAAGACCTTTAGTCACGAAGAGAGATTAGAAAATAAGACCAGACATGAGGCCACTTTGTGCATGAGTGTGTGTGTGCGTGTGTGAGCGAGAACATATACACACGGTTACATGTGGCCCCAGTGTTGCATTAATGATGTCAGGAAGGCTGGCCAAGCATTTTAAATAGGAACTAGTCCAAACAAGAACAGCCACTAAAATGAGAAAGAAAGATATACATAGGCTACATACATACTAGGGCATTAACGACTTTGATGTTTTCCAGGTCGACTTATCTGTCAATAAAGTCGAGTCGAGTCGACAAGTCATTTGATGACGTCATCACATTGACACGGCGGAGGAAAGTGAAGTATCTCTACACGTCATGTGTGTCTGTCAAGGCCCGAACATAGTCGGGCGGAACATACGCAGAACGAACTCTGCGGAGGTCCGCGCGGACTCAAAGCAGACGTCCGCAAGCCCTGTGCGCGCAAAGCTCAGATTTTACGACTGCGCGGATTCCGCTCCGCGCACCAGCGACTGCTCGGCATGTATTTTCCCATCGCGGGGTTTTTTTCACAGACATTTTTACAGGAAACTACAACGCGGAAGTGCGCTCAACTATGAAAGCCCGAATGACTGCGGACATTCCTCGCGGAGTCTGCTCCGCCTGTACGCCGTCAAGGATAAAGTATCACCGTAATCAGAGGCAGCGATTGCATTCCGTACACAAGCACACACAGAGAGAGGGAAGGAAAAAACACACGACTTGTCAACTCCTCCTGGGGGGTGTCGACTTGTGCCACTGACGTCGACACGTCGACAAATCGACTTTTCTGTTAATGCCCTAATACATACATACATACATACATACACAGAAAGAAAGAAAGATATAAATACATACATACATACATACATACATACAGAAAGAAAGAAAGAAAAAGAGAGAAAGAAAGAAAGACAGACAGACAGACAGACAGACAGACTTACTACAGTGCAAGCAGACAAAGTTGTTGTGTGAGAAAATCCTGCTGGAGCCCTTTGAAACACAAGTGTCCTCCACAGAATGGAGACCATTACATAGGGGAGAGTGTGCGCCTGTGTGTTACAAGGCTATTATTCCAAATAACAAATGTCAAAGCCTGAACATGGGAATATCCTGGACAGCCACACTGACACAGGAACCCATCTCTATCCTATTCCTGCCTTTTCCCATTTCTCAAAAATCATATCCAAACACAATCTTAATTCACTCTACTGATCGTCCACACTCTCCCAATCCTCCCCCTACACCATCCATCTCTCCCCCACTCCTAGCTTTCCCTTCCCTGCCTACCAGGCCTAGTCAGTGTTTATGGCCAGTGTACGGTTACAGGGTGTCGACTGGTGACAGAGTGCAGGCCTGCTTCTGAAGGCTTAGGTCCAGCTCATAAGACAACACATTGGCTACAGGGCGGCTACAGTCACTGTGTAAGAGGGGAGAAAGCAGTGAATGTGTCTGTGGTGACTACATCTCTAACCAACTGTACAATGTATGCTAGCACGCCTCATTAAAAATGTGACAGCTACTGCGGTGTGATTAATCATGGTTAAGGGGATAAAAGCTTTCAGCATTTCTTTAAATGTTAGAGGGAGGTCCTGTTGAAGGCAACTGGCATAGTTCAAATCATCACCATATATTGGTAAGTACACCATTCAGGTATATGTACCTGGATGGAAAAAGCAACAACCTCTGTTTCTTTCTCTCTCTCTCTCTCTCTCTATATATATATATATACGGTACAGGCCAAAAGTTTGGACACACCTTCTCATTCAATGCGTTTTCTTTATTTTCATGACTATTTACATTGTAGATTCTCACTGAAGGCATCAAAACTATGAATGAACACATGTGGAGTTATGTACTTAACAAAAAAAAGGTGAAATAACTGAAAACATGTTTTATATTCTAGTTTCTTCAAAATAGCCACCCTTTGCTCTGATTACTGCTTTGCACACTCTTGGCATTCTCTCCATGAGCTTCAAGAGGTAGTCACCTGAAATGGTTTTCCAACAGTCTTGAAGGAGTTCCCAGAGGTGTTTAGCACTTGTTGGCCCCTTTGCCTTCACTCTGCGGTCCAGCTCACCCCAAACCATCTCGATTGGGTTCAGGTCCGGTGACTGTGGAGGCCAGGTCATCTGCCGCAGCACTCCATCACTCTCCTTCTTGGTCAAATAGCCCTTACACAGCCTGGAGGTGTGTTTGGGGTCATTGTCCTGTTGAAAAATAAATGATCGTCCAACTAAACGCAAACCGGATGGGATGGCATGTCGCTGCAGGATGCTGTGGTAGCCATGCTGGTTCAGTGTGCCTTCAATTTTGAATAAATCCCCAACAGTGTCACCAGCAAAACACCCCCACACCATCACACCTCCTCCTCCATGCTTCACAGTGGGAACCAGGCATGTGGAATCCATCCGTTCACCTTTTCTGCGTCTCACAAAGACACGGCGGTTGGAACCAAAGATCTCAAATTTGGACTCATCAGACCAAAGCACAGATTTCCACTGGTCTAATGTCCATTCCTTGTGTTTCTTGGCCCAAACAAATCTCTTCTGCTTGTTGCCTCTCCTTAGCAGTGGTTTCCTAGCAGCTATTTGACCATGAAGGCCTGATTGGCGCAGTCTCCTCTTAACAGTTGTTCTAGAGATGGGTCTGCTGCTAGAACTCTGTGTGGCATTCATCTGGTCTCTGATCTGAGCTGCTGTTAACTTGCGATTTCTGAGGCTGGTGACTCGGATGAACTTATCCTCAGAAGCAGAGGTGACTCTTGGTCTTCCTTTCCTGGGTCGGTCCTCATGTGTGCCAGTTTCGTTGTAGCGCTTGATGGTTTTTGCGACTCCACTTGGGGACACATTTAAAGTTTTTGCAATTTTCCGGACTGACTGACCTTCATTTCTTAAAGTAATGATGGCCACTCGTTTTTCTTTAGTTAGCTGATTGGTTCTTGCCATAATATGAATTTTAACAGTTGTCCAATAGGGCTGTCGGCTGTGTATTAACCTGACTTCTGCACAACACAACTGATGGTCCCAACCCCATTGATAAAGCAAGAAATTCCACTAATTAACCCTGATAAGGCACACCTGTGAAGTGGAAACCATTTCAGGTGACTACCTCTTGAAGCTCATGGAGAGAATGCCAAGAGTGTGCAAAGCAGTAATCAGAGCAAAGGGTGGCTATTTTGAAGAAACTAGAATATAAAACATGTTTTCAGTTATTTCACCTTTTTTTGTTAAGTACATAACTCCACATGTGTTCATTCATAGTTTTGATGCCTTCAGTGAGAATCTACAATGTAAATAGTCATGAAAATAAAGAAAACGCATTGAATGAGAAGGTGTGTCCAAACTTTTGGTCTGTATTGTATGTATACTATCAGATATTAAAATATACTTTCAACATATTGTACCACAATAGCCAGAATTATAATTATAATATTATTACTTTCATTAATGTTGTTGTAAGCTATTAAAATTACTGTCTGTCCTGCATCTCTCTCTGTCTCCCCTTCTGTCTCACTGGGTCCTGAGGACAGAGGGATGTTGGATGCTGTAAAGCCCTGTGAGGCAAATTGTGATTTGTGATATTGACTGATTGACTGATTGATTGATTGATTGATTGATTGATTGATTGATTGATGTCCTCGTCAGTAGTTTGGTTTTCAGAAGCCATCAAAGTTCTACTCCCAAGTCATGGGTTCATTGCCAAAAATGACCTTGCGTTCTATTGACATTGCTTGTTTTATCGACATTCTGACTCTTAGGAATAGGCAAATTCACACCGTCTACGTGAGCAGGAGGCCGACAGCGAGGGTCCGAGGTCCCGCCCAACGCTGCTCGCAGTTTTAATTAGGGACCTCGGCCGAAGGACGAAGTCCCTATTGTTTCTGGTGCGTTTATTATTTTTATTATTATTATTATTATCATTATTATTATTATTATTATGAATAAATGTCTGATAGCAAAAATATGTAAATACAAGCTCTCCAGGTCAAACTCTCGTGCCTCATTTACAATCTGAATCAAATCTGTAGCTACAACTGTGCTGCAGCACTCAAGATTAAATACATGTAGTCCTGCTCAGTTTCTCCACTGACATTAACTAGTATATATTTGTGTCTGTCTGCTGTTACTTATATTCTCACAGCAGCCGGTAGACATCAAGCACGCTTCCACTAGGTCACATGATTTCAAATGAATATGGATGTGTTGTTTGATTGTCACACATGACAAAGTTTAATTAGGTCACATGGCT